AAAAATAAGAAAAATGGAAACCTTGATAGCCACTTTTATCTATTTTGATTAGTGACACAGTACGTGATATACACACTTCAATCATTATTAATTATTTTATATTATCAAGTATTTCTGTATTTTTTGTAAAATTTGTATGTGCCCCTATGTAGCATCACCAAAGACTTCCAGAACGACGAAACAGCTGTAAGATGCAGTGTCATTCAGTTTTGACATAATCAATCTGTTACCAAGTTTTAAATGTTCAACTATTTGTGTCTTTCGATCACCGTTTATAACTAATGGTCTTTCATTTTTAGAATTGTCTGAATATCAGTGTTCTATGTATGGCCCCTCAAACTACACTTACATCGAGGATGATGTAGGAATCGCCCTCGTAAAACTTCCCATAATCCTCTTCCGGCCAATCGGTCACTTCGAAATTCTGTTGAGAAACAAATATCCTTATACTATAGCGAATTCATCAATGTGAAGACTAACGTATACGACAGATGTAAAGGTGAAACATACTGAAGCTGAAGTCGTTAAATTCTGTTAGTTTAAAACAGCATTGCTTTATTCGGTTGCAATATTTTCCAGCAGACATTTGACATTGCTACTGAGAAACACTGTGTCCCCTGTGAGTGGTTTTTATATATATATATATATATGAATTTATCAAAGAGCATATAACGACTGTTAACAAGCCTTTTATTTTCACTTTTTAAATTTATCGATGTTTGGTATCTAAGACACGACACTCAAGGTCTACTCACTCTTCGTCTTTAGCCACTAACCTCATTCTTTTCTGACACCACGAATATGTTAGACAACTTACAACTAAGCTGTATAATTACATTTTGTAGTATGACGGTATCGATTTTTAGCTTGCTCGGAATATCACGAACTCCGTGATGTGTGTCGAATGCTCATCATAACATATACAGGAAATCGAAGGATGCAGATTGATGAACACTATGAACATGAGTTATGGTCTTAATCTCATTTTAAAACATTCTACTTCCTTGCATGATATGAAGGTCAGTGTTTATTATGCTCATAAGTGCGTCGTGTAGTTTCGTTTTGATCTGGACTACCATAGCTGTCATCGTTGATGTATCGAAAGGCGGTTACCCTTCTGGAACACTGGTATTATTTTTCTAGTACTTTCTCGGAAATCTCCAAACATGTTGCCTCAGTTTTTAGCTCACCGGGTCCATTGATTGGAATTTAACTAAATTTGACTAGAAGCATCCCTAGGTGGT